TGTTGCCCCTGCTGTTGCCCCTGCTGTTGCTTCTGCAGCTGCTGCAGTTGCATCTGCTGCTGCTGTTTAAGCTGCTGCTGCTGCAACTGCTGCTGTCGCTGCAGCTGCTGCTGTTGCTGGAGATGCTCTTGTTGCAGCCGCTCCTGCTGCTGTTGCCTGTCAGGGCGTGATGCAGGATATGCACAGGAAGCTCCCTCGTCTTATGCTTGGCTGCGATCTTCGGTTGCACGTGCCGGAAGCTTACGCATGTATGACTCTCCGACTGTCCGGTGTGCCAGTCCGCATGCGTGCGAAGCCGCCCGCGATGCATTTGCTGTTACAGAATGCGAGTCAGCTCGCTCCTTCCAGGTGTGGTGGGCCATACCTATATGCTTTCACTTTGTAGAAGCCTTGCTCAAAGCATGCTTTGCAGCCCAGGGGCCAAACAACTGCAGCTTGCTGCTCTGCGAGAAAATTCGGCGGTGGTGGCCTTGCTGGTAGACTTCAAATGATGCGCTTTTGTAATGCTCCATTCTGGACTACAGGAACTCGCAACGGGGTCTGCGCTTAGGTACTCACACGAGTGCCTAAGAACCATGTCGCCTGCGATGCTTCCAGGTTAGATAGTTTTTGAGACACCTCACGAATCTACACCGCGCGCAATGAGACAGTGTTCAACTTGTTCGAGATGCTGTTGTTGCTGAAGTGCGGCAAAATCCCGAACCACAGTTCAAAACAGCTTTCGTTGGGCCAACATAGCTACAGGCTTTGCATCCGTCGCTCTGAGTTCGACCATTTGATCTGTAAAGCTCGCCGTGTGTGCGACTACGTGCCCGCACAATAAGCAATTTCCGAGACTCTACCCTGTGCAGAGCTACTGTCGTTGAGCTTGCAGATGTCAAGGGCGCGCAGTGGGGCAGGTCCCAAACCAACCCGACTCGAACTCAGAATTTTGTGCTGCTTCCCTCGGCCTGGAGCCAAGTCGCTGATGGGCTGGAAGCACAGGCATTTGCATGTTCCATCCTGGCTGCTGCCTGCGGGCCCGCTTGGTCAGGAGACATCAAATTTAGCACCGCAAGCCTCCAAAGCCCAGCACACGGAGTTTCATCTGCAGTCATACACATGGCACTGACTTGGCAAATCAGGGACGCTCGGAGTGCTACCGGCTGAGATGTTCTAAGAAGTCGGATGTGGAGGCACCTGATCCTTGACAGCCCTTGGTTTTACGTAGAGCCTACGAGCCCCCCCAGAGGCTGCTTGCCCACCAACCGTAGCAAACCACCAAATGCCGTCAGTGACAAGAATGCCGAGCCAATCCAAAATGACTTGCAAGCCCGTGATGCTCTTCTTGCCGAGCGGCTCAGGCGGAAAATCCGCTCCTTGCAGCATTCCTTGTTGTTGAAACTGAGGTGCCGGCAAATGCGGCCTGAGGATCTGACTCAAGAAGAAGGGACATGTTTTGGTTGACCCACATCTTAAGTCTTGCCAGCAGAGTAGGCTTCTCCTGGCATGTGCCTACCAGTACCCAGGCACAACTCTCACGTACGATCGTGTGGGTGCACGCATGTGGAACGTATCTGCAGTGGGACAAGCCTTGATTCTCTTCACTTGGCATCCCCTTGTAGCGGTGGTCATGATCAGTTACCATCGCCCAAACCCTCTTTCTGCTTGTGAGCTGGGAAGTTCTAGTACCAGAACCGTGTTACTTCGCACAGGTTGGTCAGCAGGGAGCATGCGAAACCACATGTATGCATTGCACATGTGTAGGTAGAGGTAGCGTGCATATGCATGTCTAGACGTATGTCTTTATATCTGTACATATCTACAAGGGTATCCATACCGTGTCCATAACATGCGTGGGGCCTGATCGAGATTGGTGCAAGATGAGAGACCATTTAGTCCATCTCGTGCCTGAACTTGTGCACGCTTGCGCGTCGCACACTTGCACCTACCCTTGCGGGCTTTTGCGTGCACAGCGTGTAAAGGCCACCAGAACAACTGGGTCACGAGCGCATGGTTACATCAATCGGCACGTCGCATGTAGGTATGCATGCAGGTATACATGTATGTGTGTATACAGCAGGAGGAAGACGGATGCACTTCTGTGTGTAAATCTGCAAATGCACGTAGTCCACATTAGCGTTCACATGCTTCGGCCTGGAATCTCTCCGACAAACCCTAACAGAAATGGCCCCACAGAGACAGATGCAAGTGCTGCCAGAAAACGGAGCGGCTTGCTGTAGTGGCCATCCCTGCCTGCTGGAGGGCTTAGGTCTTGGAATGGGGTTCTGGCGTGATACTACAACCATATCGGGCCACTGTGGTCGCTACCTTCTCAGGCTCCTATATTACATTCATGTCTACCCTTCCACGTCCTGCCCTGCAGACCTGCATGCATCTCATACCCTCAAAAGCCTGGAACGTGATGCCCCGGCCGACACCGTCTGCAAGGTAGTAAGACCCTAGACCAACAGCTCAGGCAGCTGCAGTGGTCTTCACCATGTTTGGCTGCATCTTCTCTGGGCCGGTGCTCTCCGAGGCGAGAAAGACTAGCTCGGTGCCGAAACTTTGGAACGGAATCCCTTCTACAAGAGACTTGGGCTCCAGTATCGTAGGGCATGCTATCTGCATGACGAAATGCCTCAGGCAACTGAAACAATCGTTGGACCATTCGCCAAGTGGCGTCGCAGCCATTAGGGGGTTGTTGGCAACCTGCGCTCGCCATAAATTCCGCCTGCAGATCGGGATGCTGAAAAACTAGCGTGTGTGGGTACGTAACCGGCGCGAAGCATTTAATTACCCTGCTAAACAGTCAACTTGGGTCTGCATGTGATGCTAGCTGACATCCTTGCCGATGTGTGTTCGGCGAGGACTTGGAAAGGCAGAGATTTAGAAGGAAGGCATGGATACTTGCGGGAGGTATCCCGTAGATATAGATATAGATATATATATATATATATGTATGTATGTATGTATGTATGTATGTATGTATGTATGTATGTATGTATGTATTTGTTTACGGCTTATACATAAATACATACATACATAAATACATACATACATACATATATACACACATACATACATACGTACATACCTACATCCATACATATATACGTACATACATACATACGTA